GAAGGTGTGAGGGGGCAGAGGCCGAGGAGAGGCAGTGACGGGGACAGAGAGCCACTCAGGGAGGCGACAGAGGCAGGGACAGAGACACAGAGTCAGGGAGAGAAAACCCAGCTAGGCGTGGAGACTGGGAAAGAGTGGGGGGATGTGGGCAGACAGACCCTGAGCAGGACAGAGTCAGCACGGAAACGGGGAGAAGAGAAGAGACAGAGAGACAGACGGAAGAGGTGGGGTGGGGGCGCGCAAAGACACACAGAACAAGACCAAACCCAGGAATTGAGACCCGAACAGACCCATGTGGAAGGTGATCCGAGACAGAAGGGAAGAGAGCCAGGGCAGACGACATGAGAAGTGAGAAAACAGAAAGGAGCATCTTCCACCCATACACGTCATCCCCCCTCGTTTAAAAAAGGCAAAATTAAAAACAGAACCCATAGCCTTCCCAAAAGTGTGCTGGGGTGGCAGGCATGCTCTACTAAGAGCTGTGCTGGGTTAGGTCTTACTCCCCGCCTGTAGGGGGCTTGCCTGGTCAGGGCATCCAGGGCACTGAGAGCATTGGGGACTGGGAGGTCTTGCCACCCAGGGCAGGGTCCTGTACTTCAGGCCACTCAGTGCTTGTCCAGAGCAGAATGGGTGAAAGGTGTGGATCTGAAGCTAGAGACCCTGGGGATAGCAGTGACGGGGCAAAGCAGATAGGCTTTCTGGGCCCAGTGCTGGCTTCATGCCCTGTGGAGCCCCATGGTCATCTTGGTTCGTGCTATGGCTCACTTTCCCCATCTGTACAATGGGAAGCAGGTCTCTGAACCTCTTCTCCACAAGACACCTGACCGACAGACCAAAGTATTCTAATAAATTGTTTTCCCATGGGCCTGTGTGACACTGGAGAATATCATGCCTGGTCACATGGAAGGATTAGGTGATCTCGTGATTTGGTTCCTCCAAGTCAGTACCTCATTACCCTTAAAGTCTCTGGCCATAGAGTCACCTTCCAAGGGCAATGGCCCAACTCAGGGCAGGAAGCCCTCTGGTCACTGAGGGCCATTCTGGCCTCCACACCTCCAACCAGAATCAGGGCTCAGTTAGGGGCCTGTGAGGGGCATGGTGGGAGCACCCAAGCGTGGAAAGGTCAGTGAGGAGGTCTGAGAGAGAGTTCTAGGATAAGAAGGACAGTTGGAGGAGCCTGGGGGGTGGGGCCCTGGTTCACCTCCTGACTCCCCCCTCCCCTTGTGTCTCCTGGTCCTTTGTGAGCATTTGCCTGTGACGTTTTTAGTTGCAAGAACAGATGACATCTCATGGTCTGAAAGGGAGGTTCTCCTTGGTCCTGGGCCATCTCCACATGGCCAGGCCCCTCTGGATCTGGTCTCACCTCTCTCCTGGGAACAACGTGTCTAAACTGGGACTGCACAACAGAGAGCTTCATTATGTGTAACTGAGTGTGAATACTCAACCCATACACACCTGCCCACACCAATAACTCATGTTCAAGCACAGAGGCAAGGCTATGAATTTGTTCTCACACTATTGCTTAAGTTTGCACATTTTTAGCCTCATATGAACTCTACATTATGAGCACACTTATGTATACACGGAAACGTTCACCTTCCATATTCAAACATAAACTTGCACACCCAGATACACATCTGTGATGATGCTCCATATGTGCTCCCCCTCCATGCTCTTACTCCAGAGGAGAATGGCAAAAGGGTATATCTGGGTCACTGAGGCTGTGTCCCTGTGTGAATGTGTGACTAACAAAGAAAATATGCATGGATTTCTGAGACTTTGAATGTGGACATGTTGCCGCATACAAGGAGACTCAGTGTGTGTGTGTATGTGTGTGTGTGTTGGAGGGTTGTGTGCCCGAGTGGTTGTGTGTGACTGAGAGTGTGTGGTGGGGGTGTGGGGGGGTGAGTGCTATTTAAATAAAAAAGAAAGGAAGTGAATCAGGGTCGTTTCCATTTTAATTGTAAAACAGATAAGCACTAAACACTTTGAAAAAGTAAATGACTTGAGAATAATTACTCTCTATTACCCAGCGTCCCAGGGGGGCAGTTGGAGGAGCCCAGATGGCTACAAAAATGGGATTTAGCAGAAAATTGAAGACATTATTCACCGTAACACATTATCAATTACCTTCATATCAATTACAATAACCTTACATTAGCGAGGGGCCCCAAGACCCTCCAGCCCCTAGACTGTGGAATCCCTGCAGCCCTGTGGGGGAGGGGGAGGGGAGGGGGAGGGGAGGGGTAAGAGGAGGGGAGTGGACAGGGAGGGTCCTGCTTCTTTCTCTCTCCTGGAGACACTGCTGCTAGCTCAGGCCTCTCACCCCATCACATGTCTCCTCTCCCCGAATTTCTCCCTGGCCCAGTTCCTGGGCTGGGAGTTTCCTGGCAGATGATGTGTGAAACAGGAAGTGAGCTGAGGAGGTGAAGGGAGAGACAGAGATACTGAGGCCAAGAGGTGGATGCGATGAGAGGCTGAGGGGTGAAGGAAATAAAGAGGTGGGAGGAAAATAGGGGGCAGTCTAGTTGGGCCCAAGGAAGCTGAGACACTGAGGAGACTCAAAAGGATGAGGGGGCTAAGGTGCTAAAATGTCACTTTCTGTATTTACTCTGTTCACTTCCTAGTCCATCCACCCCGTCTACCCCTGCCCCACTCCTCTCATCTCACCCGCCTCTGCCCCATCCCACCCACTGTGCTCCTACAGAGATTCTCTCCCTGTCTCAAAGTCTCTGGGGGCACTCATGGGAATGGTGGCTCAAGGGATTTAAAACTGGAGGGAATGAGCTGTTGCCTCCAGTAGGAACCACAGAAGTAAGACAAAAGGAAGAACTTCCTGGAATAAGACTCCCAAACTGAATCTATCTGTCCAGACCGTGACTGCCAGTGGAGAAAGGAGCCTAAAGACTCTGTGAGGGAAGTGTCTGAGACAGCATGAGAATAAAGAGTGGACACCGATTCCAATCCTGACTGCTCCCTGCTTCCCCAACAGCCCCCCCACCCCACACCTACCACTGTTCACTGGCTTTCAGGAATCAACCAAGCCAGGCTCCAGATCTATCCTGCTTGACGTGGTGGACACTAGCTCCATGTGACTGGTCCAAATGGAGATGTGCTCTAAATGAAAAACACACCAATTTTTTAAGATTGAGTATAACGAGTAAAATGTCTTTTAATACTTTACAAAATATTGATTGCACATTAAGATGATATTGGCTTGGCTATATTGGTTTAAATAAAATATCCTATTAAAACTTATCTGGGCTCAGTGGTGTGCACCTGCAGTCTCAGCTACTCGGGAGGCAGAGGTGGGAGATCCCTTATGCCCAAGAGTTCAAGGCTGGAGAGAGGTACAGCCACATATGTGAATAGCCACTGCCTTCTGTTGGCCTGGGCAACATAGCAAGCCCTTGGCTCTAAAAAATTTTAAAAATATAAAAATAATATTATCTATTTCTTTGTACATCTTTAAAAAGTGTAGCCACCAGAAAATTTTAAATAGCATATATGGCTCATATTTTATTTCTATTGTACAGTGCTGGGCTAAAGCACTTGGAAAGGAAAGGGTTTGGGGAAGAGCAAATTCTGGGTGTCACCCCTTGGAATTCATCCCACTGGGGAGTTTCCACTTCAGAGAAAGGAGCTCCTCAAGAAGGTGTCCTTCCAAGATGGGGCTAAAGCAGGAACTCCAGGATCTACCTGAAACCCAGCCCCAAGTATGAGCCATGCAGGCTAGGATTCTCACAGACAGGAAGCCCACAAGGAGATCCCCACCCAGTGTCCATCCCCAACATATGTGCACATATTTCCTTTCCTCACATACTCAGACCTTCACTCATTCTCTGAAAGGGTGCTTATGTGTGCATCCCCCACAAGTGCACACGTACTTCCTGTCCCTTTGCACAACCTTACATCCACACTGGCCAGGCTCATGCACTTATGCTTTCTGTGAGTGATATCTTTGTGCCAGTACACATGTGTGCATACATCCACGTAGACATGTGCTTCGTATTCCACACACAGAGCAGGGTAAGGAGGGCAGGACTGGGCAAACTTGTCAACTTGATTCATGGTGTGTGTGTGTGTGTGTCCAGGGGAGTGAGAGCTAATAATGCCCCCCTCCCCCAGGCTGGGCCCAGAGGACTAATTGCCAGTAATGAGCTAAAAGGAGCTCAGAGTCGCCCCAAGGCCCGGATGAAGATGTTTCCAGAGACCAGCCAGAATCTGTCCTGCTGTTTTGTTGATAGAAAATCCCTCTCCCCCAGTGTCCCCTCTCTATCTCTGTCTCCCCTCCTGTGGCTCCCTCTGGTTCAAAGCCTCTGAGGAGTCCAGCCATGCCCTACCCCCCTGCTTCTCCCATCAGCCTCTCTGCCTCCTTCTTCCAGTTGTCCTGCTCCATCATCACATGTGCCTTCCATCCCACCCTCTCCTCTAGTCCCTGATGGAGGCTTCTCAGGACACCCATTGCTGAGAAGGAGGCAAATTCTCAGACGCTCCAGGGACCAGCTGCAGAGCTACTGGGGAAGACTGTGAACAGGCAGATTGTAACTGGATCTGAAGAAAAACTTTTACTTAAGGAGGAGATCTGTACTGTAACAGAATGGGACAGTGCTGAGCTCCTCTAGCTAACATACTCCAGCAGCACCCATTGAGGGCCCTATAGAAATGCCTGCTCTGCTAGAAATAAAGTTGCACAGGATGACCCATGAGGCTGCTTCCTGAGATTATTATTATAGCTACTCATAAATTATTAGTATAAATATTCACTAGTCTTAATTATAACAGCTACCATAGGTCAAGCAACTATAAAATGCCAGGTACTTTACATTTTTAGCTATCTCCCTTCATCCTCACAAAACCTCTGCAAGGCACACATTATTATCTTCATTTGATAGGCGAGTAAACTGAGACTCAGAGAGACTTAAACAGATGCCAAAGTCACATGGCTACTCAGTCAGAGAGCTGGGATTTGCACTATGTCTGACAATAAAGCCCATGCTGTGTTATATAAAGGTAGAGAAGGTTAGTATTCCCCTCGCCTAGGATGGAAGAGACTCTCAGGCCTGACAACACAAATACAGTTGATACCACTTACCTTGTGGCATCTAACCATTGTTTTATTTTTAAAATTAAATACCTCAAAACCTCATGTCATGTCCACTAAAATCATTTATTCCCTCAACAAACATTCATTCATCAAATAGAGATCCTACCATATAGCAAGTAAAGCCTGAAAGGAATAGGTGTCCTTAAACTTAAAGGACCTCAGGGAGAGGTGTGGTGGTAGGAACCCGTGTCTCAGTTTAGAACTAGAAAAGGAAAAATCTTCACTCAAGAGACTTCCTCGGCCACCCCCTAAGTGCTTGTGTATCTGGTGTACACCCTTGTGTGTGTATACCTGATGGGCAGGTATATCTGCTCCCATGAATCCACATGGGGACACTCAAAAAGCCAGAGGGCTCTGGGGAGGACACTTGGGAATACAATAGCCTTGTGCAACATCTTGGTGGTCAATGATAGGAAGTGTTTTTAGGGAAGCCCCACATCCCCCCTGCATTGGCACATTAGAGACAGTCAGCAAGGGCAAGGCCCAAGCCAGAGGAACTTTGGGAGCAGCTGGATTTGAGGATCCTATGTACACACTTCAGTTCTCCTTTTCCACCTCACCCCTGTATCTGGAGCAGGGGATGGGCAGAAGGGAGGGAAAGAAGGAGAGAAAAGGAAGGAAAGCTTCTGGTATGGGACAGGGCAGGGGTGGTACCCAGAGATTTGGAAGCTGTTTATGATGCAAATGTGTAAATGCTCTGCATTACCTCCCCTGAGAAAGGAGCCTAAAATTGAAGTCTAATTATAATGAATGATTGTTAATGAGTTGTCTAAACATAATAGATGGAAAGAATTAAACACCCAGAAGAAACAGGGTTTCATTAATGCACAATAAAAAACCACAAGTGGGGTGAGCAGAGCCCTCCCCTGTTGTGGAAGACAACCCTTCTTTCCCCTATGTGGACCTTGCAGGTAGGAGCAAGGCCAGGCCTCAGGACCTGGGAAGCTTAGCATCCTGAGGTGACCCTCAATACTGGGGGCACCCTCTACAAAGATGGTCATTGCCTGGGCTTACACCTACTTGGGTGTACCTTTGCATGAGTGCCCACACTAGGCATGCACATCTACAGCCTATAGAAGTTTGGTCATAGCAAGCTGGTGTGGAAGTAAGCACATGTGTCTATTCCTGTAGTGGGCTCCAGTGGATGGTGGCTTGTAGACTCTCAGAAAGGCACATCTCTTCCAGGTCAGCAGCAGCCTCTGGTCTTTAGTGGTCCAGCCCTGCAAATTGGCTCCCAGGGAGGGAAAACAGCTAAGAGAGGACACACGCACTTGTATACAGATGTGTGCACAATTCTGAAGGTCAAGAGTCAGTCACATTCATCTGAACTCCAAAGGCTAAAGCAGGAAGAACATCAGAGATTATTTAGTTTCTACTCCAAATGAGGCTGCCTAATGCAGATGCACTGAAGTCCAGAGAGGGAAGGTGATGAGTCCAAGGTCACAAAAGTCAGAGCTAGACCTCCTCATCCTAGTCCAAGGTGCTTTAGTTATTAGAAGAGCCATTTGTTATGCAGGTAAGGCTTGGAATAAGGCCCCACACATAATAAGACAATGTATACAGGGAGGCAACCTGGATCTCAGACTTTTCTGGGTAAGGGACGAATGTTTAGGGGCTCCCAAGGATCCAACAGGAGTCCCAAGCTTGTGCAGAGAGTCTGGGCAATGCCAAATGGTCCCAGGATGGGATAACCTGCAAGAGCACACATAGCACAGGCTGTTGTAGGGCAGAGCATTCAAGCTGGAGAGAAGCGGGTTTTGACTGACAGGTTAATGAAGCGCTTTATACTGGTGGTGTAACTGCAGAGGCAGGCTGAGAGCAGGCTTACACCCACACACCCACACACAAACATCACACCCTAACACACAGGCGACACCCAGAAGGGCAGAAGCCAAGCTGGCCAGCCTCCAGAGTGTTCTCCCTTCATCCGCCGTCATCCAGTGCTTTTCAGTCCCCAATTTACTGGGTCCCATGGCTGGTCTCCAGTTGCAGGGAAGATCTGACCATTCCCCACTCTGCCCCAGTGAACAGAAGGATGTCCTCGCTGCACTGCCACACTCTACTTCCCAGAGATCTTGTGGATTTGGTGCAACCCTGCAGTCAAATTGATTTAGTCTAGGTCATTTATGGATAGGAGGTGGGCACCTGGCCAAGGGCACCTGGGTTTTCTGTGCCCACTGTTGGGGTGATCTCCCCTACAAAGGAAAATGCTCAGACTTCCTCCAAGACCGAGCCCAAACACTTACGCAGGCTCCTTGGTCAAGATAGGGGTGTCGTGTGGTCTTCAGCATACCTTGCCTAGACCCACCAGACTGGGCAGCCCAACCTCCTCACACCTTTGCCCTTCTTTTGACCCCGCCCCCCTTGGAGCCAACACTGATTGGCTGCCATGAAGGCAGTGCGGGCCAACCAGCCCCCGCAGCGCCAGGAAAAGTTAATTTGGAGTTCTGGTCTCCTCCCAGGATGCATTTGGGCGGCCGCCCGTAATGAGATGCATAATTGCGGAGGCCTGCCAACAAAAGCAGGCTGGATTTAATTGAGTCAACGCATGGCCATTAATAATCTGACGGCAGCCCTCCCCCACTCCCACCTCACCCCACCTCACCCCCACCCGCCATCATCCAATGCTTTTCAGTCCCCAATTTACTGTCCCACCACGGCTGGCCTCCAGTTGCAAGGAAGAAGATCTAACTATTCCCAGCCTGCCGCAGTGCACAGCAGCTGTAGTAGAACACAAACTCCCATAGAATATCTCGTGATAAATCTGCACACACACACACACACACCTCCCCTCCACCGCCCCATGGCAAAACACCTTGGCTGGCACCTGTACCCAGCCAACCCCTTTCCCCATTCCATCATTACACAGATAGAGCCTACACTCCTACCATGTGCCAGGCTCTGGTTTTGGACCTGGGAATATGGCAGCCAACACAGACATAGCCAGCCCCCTGGAGCTTAGTGTTACCATTCACTTGTCATCTTACACCATGGGTATGCTCCTGACCTTCATACCACAGCTCCACATGCCAGCCTTCACACTCCTTCCCCACTTGCCCTATCCCTATGCCTGTCCCTTTTCATCTCATTCAGACACGCTCCCACAATATGCTCTTTCCCATATTCTTGTCCCCAGCATCTATTTCCCCTAAGTGTCCTGCCTGTCCTCATACACAGTTGCCATAGACAACCTTGTCCACAAACAACTCTCCACATCTGTTCCCCTCCAGGGAGCTCACACGGGACAGGCACCCAGGGATCCCTCAAATCTGCTTCTCCAGCAGCTCTCCCTGTCCCGTTATCTCTCCCTACTGTCCCCCTGTCCCCATCATCAGCCCAGTTATCCTCGCAGGCCCACAAATCCCACCCGTACTCTTCAACTGTCTCCAGCTCCTTAAGCTGATCCTACATCTGTAAAATGGGAACAATATGGTATTAGTTAACGCCCTCATGCAGTTGTTGAAATGACAACTTTATCTGAGATAATCCAGGTCAAGGGTTTAGTGCAGAGCCTGGCACTCATGAGGACTCCTCAGTGCTGGTTGCTGAATTTAGCTGGTGGAAATAATCCAATGAACTCCCCAACATCAAACTCTGGACCACCTAAACTCCTAAGTGACCCCTTAGAATTATATGTTTTTCATAAAATTAGCTTGAAAAGGGCCTGGCCTAACCACAGTGATGAGAACTCAAATGGAAATCCAGCTTTTCATACTGGACAGCATGTGTGTTCCCATCCTCACCTGCCCCCCATATTCTTATTTGTCCACTATTTCCCTGGGGGAAGTGAAGAGATCAAGGATCCCTCAAAGTGGATATGGAGCTTTCAGAAGGAAGGAACAGGACACTATTCCACCCACTGGCCTCCCTTCAGGAAATCTCTTATAGAACGGGGAGAGGTTAGTCTGGCTTTGGGACCAGGTAGGGTGGAGTCCAGGGGCACCCAAGGCAAAGTTTCTTATGAAAAAACAGGAAAGTTTCCCTTCCCACTTATTCCTCAGTTTCTACTGTAAAGTCCGGGGAGGTAAAGGAAAAAGGATAAAGAGCCACCACTTGGGGAGAAGAGGTGGCATAGGGAAAGCTGCACCTTAAATCCTGAGTTTCAATCCTACTCTCTAATCTTCCTGATTGGGGAGGACAGGCGTCTGGGTGTGGGTGCTGGGGAAAGGAAGGGTTCGCAGCCTGCCTTTCCTTCCAAACCAGGCTGGGCTGGCGGGCTTCCTGGAGGAGGTGTCTAGGCTGCTCTCTTAGGGGCTGATAAGCGGGTGCACGCGGGTGCGCGCGGGCTTGAGACTCCTCAGAGAATCCCTGTCACCGCCGAAATCGCCGAAATTGGCTGCAACTAGTAAAGATGCCAGGAATTTGCACCTTGCTCTGTGACCTAAAGCAAAAATGACATGAACATTGACAAATTTGACAAGGAAATTTGTGCAAAAAACAACTTCTATTTGGCTAGCCAAGCAGCAAATATGCCGGATGATACGCTTTATTAAGCAATCCATTTCTCAGCAATAGCGGCGCCATCTGCAAAGGTTACCGCGCATCAGGCTCGGCACAGAATTTCATCTGCGTCTGCAGTCGGGGCCGCACGCGGACACATTTTTCATGTACATGCGATTCCGGATGCAAATAGAATCCGTGATGAAGGAGGTGACCTTCCGGGCGGAGCCGCTGCGAGCTAAAGTCACGCGCAGGCCCACGGGGAGGGGGAGGGGCAGGCAAGCTGGGGGTGCTTTGTGGGGCTGGACCTGACTTGGGCTTTGAGGTGGTGAGGGAGGGGTTAGGGAGCTGGGATCGCTTAGGGGAGAGATACAGAGATCTTTGAGTCTTTTCACTTTGGGTCTGGAAGGGATCTGAGAGAGCATTGGGGCAATCCTCTCATTTTATGGATTTGGAAACTGAGACTCAGAACAGGGAAAGTCTTGGCTAAGGTCACACCGCTTGGTAATGGTAGGACTGAAGCTAGGCACTGTACTTTAACTCCTAGCCCAGTGTTAACCTTGAGAACTCAGAG